GGGGAAAGTCAACAGAGTTTCTGTAAAGGGAACTCATGCCTTACTAATCTGCTAAAGTTCTTTGAAGGGGGTCAACAAACATGTGGACAAAGGGGATCCAGTGGATATAGTATACTTAGATTTCCAGAAACCTTTGGACAAGGTCCCTCACCAAAGGCTCTTACATAAAGTAAGTTGTCATGGGATAAAAGGGAAGGTCCTTTCATGGATTGAGAACCGGTTCTAAGACAAGAAACAGGGTAGAAATAAATGGTAAACTTTCCTGAATGGAGAGAGGTAACTAGTGGGGTCCCCCAAGGGCCTGTCCTGGGGCCAGTCCTATTCAACTTATTTATAAATGATCTAGAGAACAGGGTAAACAGTGAGGTGGCAAAATTTGCAGATGATCCCAAACTGCTCAAGATAGTTAAGACCAGGCAGACTGTGAAGAGCTTTGATCTCTCCAAACTAAGTGATTGGGCAACAAAATGGCAAATGAAATTTCATGTTGATAAATGGAAAGTAATGCACATTGGAAAAAATAATCCCAACTACACATACAACATGATGGGGTCTATGTTGGCTATACCCACTCAAGAGAGATCTTGGAGTCATTGTGGATAGTTCCCTGAGAACATCCACTCAGTGGGCAGCGGCAGCCAAAAAAGCAAATAGAATGTTAGGAATCATTTAAAAAAGGATAGAGAATAAGACCGAAAATATTGTAATGCCTCTACATAAAACCATGGTTCACCCACATCTTGAATACTGCGTATGGATGTGGTTGCCTCATCTCAAACAAGATGTATTGGCATTGGAAAAGATTCAGAAAAGGGCAACAAAAATGATGAGGGGTTTGGAGTGGGTCCCCTATGAAGAGAGATTAAAAAGACTTGGAGTTTTCAGTTTAGAAAAGAGGAGACTAAGGGGGAGGGGAATATGATGAAGGTCTATAAAATTATAACTGGTGTGGAAAAAGTGAATAAGGAAAAGTTATTTACTTATTTCCACAATCTAAGAACTAGGGATCACTAAATGAAATTAATAGGCAGCAGGTTTAAAACAAACAAAAGGAAGTTTTTCTTCACTCAGCGCACAGTCAACCTGTGGAACTCCTTGCCAGAGGATGTGGTGAAGGCTAGGACTTTAACAGGGTTCAAAAAAGAGCTAGATAGATTCACAGAGGTCAGGTCCATCAATGGCTATTAGCCAGGATGGGTAGGAATGGTGTCCTTGGCTTCTGTTTCTCTGGAGGTGGATGACAGAGGAGGGATCACATGAGGATTACCTGTTGTGTTCCCTCCCTCTGGGGCATCTGGTATTGGCCACTGTGGGCAGACAGGATACTGGGCTGGATGGACCGTTGGTCTGACCCAGTATGGCCGTTCTTATGTCCCACAAAAGAAACTGGAATGGGAGCAGGAAGGGTGGGCAAGAAATAGCAGGCGGCTTTCTAGAAAAGAGCATGGGGAACACTAATGAAGATCAGAAAACACTGTCTATTTCTGTACTTCTATATGGTGAAAACTCTGAAATCTGTAACTCAGTGTATCAGTGAGAAGGTTGAACATCTTATTCTGAAAAAATACAACTTCCCTTTTATGCATTGAAGCCATTTTGTGGGCCCTTTCCTGTAGCCTCTGAAGTTAGTGGGAGCAGGCTAGGATCCTGTACTTGTAGCTTCTCCTCTCTGGCACAAGAATCCTTTAGGGTGGAAAGGCTGTGGCTCCCCGGCTTGCATTCACCTATGATCTGCTCTTGATTCAGTATCCCTCAGCCCAGAGGGTTATAGGTCAACATTTCTTTGGAAATGCCTGGCTGTCAAATAACTGTAGCTCTAGCATGCCGGGTGTTGACAGTCTCTATTCAGATCCCTCCTGCAAACATGTTCCTTCCCAGAAGCCCATGAATATCAGCCTGTGTTGGTGAAACCTGCCTGCAATCACTCTGAGCTGGTATCCTCCTCCTAATGGACTTCTGGGGCTGTTTGTTTGGACTGCAAGCTTCTCAGCCTAGGGGCCCAGCTTGTGAAGCGCTGACTACTGTCACTCAGCAGATACCACTGTGGCTTGCACAGAGCATGAATGAATATGGGTGTTTGGAAGTGTTTCCTTTCTGGAGGTAAGGGAGTCAAATAGCAGTCTGACTCAATGCTTCCTAAGAGAGCAAAAATGAAACACAAGCTTTCAAAGGGCAGCGAGACCCCATCTCCAGAGAGAGGCCCCCGAACTGGCACAGGCATTTCACAGTGCTTAGCAAACCCTCCTCTGAGCCCTAGAAGAGTAGGTCCAGATTATCAGCTCACCTTGACAAATGGGGAAATCTGAGCAGAGGTTAAACAACATGCTCCAGGACTCCTAGGGAGCTAATGAAGCCAGGAGTGTGCTGCACCCTGAGCATAGAGAACACTGCCTTCTCTGCATCCACGCGGAATCATGGCCTGACAACAAAAATCACTTCCACAAGCCTCAGTTCAACCCCCTTCATCTCCCTTTTCCACATATGGTGGGAATACTTATCCTTACCTGAGAATGTCACCCCATCCTTCTGGCCATCATCAGCTCTTTGGAGTATAAGCCTGTGCATACCAGATGTTATACAAAGTGAATTGAGGGTCCTCCATCATAAATTTATTAGGATAATGCCAAAAGATTATGGAGCCACAGTATGGACTTTGTAATGCGCCCACCATTTGTATGCGTGGTGCCTATAGACATGGAGGATCAGTCCTCCTCTTTCAGTGCTTAGTCTAAGCATTTTAGAGGCTCTGTTATACTGAACTGGACATTTGGGACTGACACTTGGTCTCATTTGAACAGCTCAAAGTCTTCCTTTTTGGCTCCTTGTTTCCAGATTTCCAATTTCCTTTTCCAAGTGCATACTTGATTTCTCATGATCTAGTTATGAGCAGTTCATGGGAGAGGAGATGCCTATTTACTTTCTAATCCTAGGCAAATGGGAAATCCAAAACCTCCTCCATCGATTCCTGATGGAGGTTTTCATGGTAGTTGAATGGTTCGGAATGGTTAAGTAAGACTGTCTATACAGATTCCTCACTGCCCACAGAACCTCCTGCTTCCCTTAACCACAGCCTACTCTTGGCTCTGTTTCTCTTCTCTTCCTTGCCAGGTTGACCCCTTCCCCATTTCATTCCCCACTCCTCCCCCAAGTATTTCAAAGAAGAGTACTGTCATCTTTGAAAAGTCACGGAAGACAGGAGAGATTACACAAGACTGGAAAAGGGCAAATCTGGTGCCCATAAAAAGGGAAATAAGAACAACCCAGGAAACTACAGACCAGTCAGTTTAACTTCTGTGCCAGGGAAGATAATGGAGCAAGTAATTAAGTAATTCATCTGCAAATATCTGGAAGATAATAAGGTGACAACCAGCATGGATTTGTAAAGAACAAATCATGTCAAACCAATCTGATAGCTTTCTTTGATAGCATAACATGCCTTGTGGGTAAGGGGAAACCAGTAGGCATAGTAAACCTAGACTTTAGTAAAGCATTTCATTTGATACAATCTTGCATGACCTTCTTATCAATAAACGAGGGAAATACAACTTATATGGGGCTATTATAAAGTGGGTGCATAACTGGCTAAAGAACTGTACTCAGAGTAGTTCAGTCATGCTGGAAAGGCATAACTAGTGAGGTTCTGCAGGGGTCAGTTTTGGGACCCGTCCTGGTCAAGATCTTCATCGATGATTTAGATAGTGGCGTAGAGAGTACACTTATCAAGTTTTCAGATGATATTAAGCTGGGATGGGTTGCAAGTGCTGTGGAGGAAAGGGTGGTAAAATGGAGATAATTAAAAGCAAGTTAGACAAACATTATCAGGGATGATCTAGATGGTACTTTGGTCATGCCATGACTTGATGACCTCTCAAGGTCCCTGTGACGGCGCGTTGGGGTTCCCCGTCTCCTGCACCCCGAAATGGCACAAACAGACTGCACCAGCCAGTGGAATTGAGGGTGGTTTATTGCTCCTCCAGCACAGCGCAGCACAGATGTAATCTGGTTACAGGGACTGGGGCTAAGCGGCCTCAGTGCCCCCCCTTGAGATAGGGGAGTCCCAGCCCCCTCCCCAGCTCCTTATTCCCTGCCTTCCAGCCAGGAACTAACTAACCCTCTACCAGCCCTGCCCCCCAGCCAGGGCAGCATTCCACCTTCCTTTGTTCCTCTCCATGGGGGGTGTCTGGCCACTGGTTCAACAAGTTTGGCATTACCTCTGCCTAGTGAGGCTTTCCCTGCTGGGTCTTGCTCCAGACAGCAGGGGTCACCACATCCCAGCAAGTACCCCCACTACGTCACAGTTCCTTTCAGTTCTAGTATTCTATACTTCTGAAGCAAGTCACAAGTGGAATTTTCCATCCGAATCTCTGTCTCGCTCAGCTGTTGGATAACTATTCCAAAGGGTTATTGGAAAGAATCTATTTCCTCCTTTTCCTGCTTGTAGGCTGGTACTGCGACTATGTGCTTAGGGACAGAGTTTGTGAAGGTTTCTGAAATATGCATTTGCTATTTTTGATGTGTCCAAACAGGGCTTCTTAAAGTGGCCATGCAGGTGAAAGGTTCTTCCTGGTGTGCTGGGCCAAGGCAGCCCTTGCTGAGAACCAGTCTGTTTCTTGAGCAGCCACCAGAGTTAACTGCAAGAAAGGCAAGCGTGACTTCCTCTTCCTGCTGCTTCTCCTACTAGTTCTAGTGTTATGAGGGCCCTACCGTAAGCAGAGCTTTTCAGGCTAAGCAGTCTTGCTTTAGCTCCTTTGGGGAGCAGTCATTCTTGAGACCTTCTGCTGTTCCCTTTGCTCTCCCCCCTCTCGATCCTGCTTTGTGTGTGAACAGGGTCTTGCTGTATACTTCACTCTGCGTTGATGTGAAATCTCTTCCCCTGCAGAGGTTTCTCAGTGTGTGCATCAGGACTGGATGCCTCTGCTTAATAATTACCCCCAAATCTCTTTCTGTCCACGGCTCCCTTTGAGGCTGAGATCTAATCCTTGCTTTGTTTTTCTTCCCAGTGTCCTTCAGGTTTCTGAATGTTGGGTCCTGACTACGCTTCCCACCCTGGAAGAAACGGAAAAAACAGCACAATGGACACAGCTTCTCTGCACACCATGCTTGGTCAGACAGACCTGCCCACCTGTGAGGGAGGGGGCAAATCTGCACCTGGTTGCTATGGGTTGGGAAGAGTCCTAAAAATCCTGTTGTGTTCTGCCCCTGCCCTGCCCTGGATCTTCTGCACAAGCCCCCAGGGTGTGCGCATTTGAAGAGAATCTCTTGTGAAAACCCTAAAGCTGTCTTGCCAGACAACAGCAGTATCCCACACCAAGGGTTGGAGGCCGTCTTCTCTCTGCAGTAGCAGTAGTTCTCTCAGTGCCTTGGGCTGTCAAAGGGCCTACTGTGTTCCCACCTTGTCCTCTGGGATGGAGTAGCGGGCCTCATCCTTCAGCCCCCGTTTTGTGCGTGTTACTTCACAAACTTCTGGAAGAATTGGAAGGCGCCTCGAGGCAGAAGCCTGGTGTGAAGGGAGGGTGGCAGCCAAGGAGGCTTCCCTTTGCTCATCTAGGCAGAAGACGAGGACATTCAATTTAATGTCACTGTGCCAACTGCACCCCACTGAGTGAATAGCATGTACTAGATGCATCCCTGTGCTGTTCTAAGCACTTCTGTGATACAGCAGCTGCTGGAGAGTAGACACAGGTGCTGATTGCTGTTCCTGGGACTCTAAAACGTCTTTGGGGGGGTTGTTTCTAGGCTATCCTGCTGCAGCAGAGAAATGGGGAGCCTGGGAGTGGCCTTAACCGAGCCCTGGTTGCTTTTCAGAAGGGCATTTTCTAGAGATGAAATATTTTTGTACTAATCTAGGGGCTTTCTGTATTGAAAGCCAATGTAACCACATCTCCATTGGCAGACTGGGCATCTCTCCCTCTGAGGTAACGGTACCAGTGGCCAATTTGCCTTTCAAAGCTGCGCCGAGAATAGATACACTTGACATTCAATGATGTGTCTGACTGGCAGGCCCCCACAGCTTGGAACCATGTGGGGAGGGGTTGTGCATTTCTTGTAATCTATGTGTAAAACTAGCTGCAAATTAATTAGAAGCTTTTTCTAAACCTTTTAAAAATATATATATTTTTAAATTGAGAAACGAGATTATTGGATAAAAACATTTTTTCTGCGACTTTATCCTATTGAGAACACAAGAACACTACAGTGATGCGGGGAACAAGCCTGACATTTGGGGGTTATGGTGCATGAATACCTTTGGGAAGGGGGGACACTTCAGAATGATTGGGGAACAGCATCCCTCTTCAAATCAAATGGGAGTGGTGTTTACAGAAATCGGTCTCTGGCCATGTGATTGGACACTCCTCCTAGGCATTCCCTAGCCTGGGGCTCTTAGCAGGGGACAAGCTGGATATGTGAAGGCCTAGAGTAGCTGCGCTGCATCTGATGTATTGGAGGCTTGGGTTCCCTAACCTCTACTTAAAGGAGGAGGCTGAGCGGAGCCAGCCTGCTGACAGTCTCTGCAGCCTTTGTCCCCCCACTACTTTAATCCAGGAAGTCAGTTGACGTTAGCAGTTCAGTCTGGCTGGCCTGGTTTCTATGGCTTCTCTCTTTGTTACTGAAGGTTTTTGCTGCTACTTTCTAGTCCTGCAGGAGTGTGATGGAGGTTCCGACCTGCGGACAGTTCTCCTCCCTAACCAGGACCTGCAGGGCTAGGAAGGTCAGCTGACAGGTTTTTCAGCCTTTCAGTGTGTGCGATGGTAGGATTTGGGGGAGGGATGGTTCTTTGCAGTGTTCTATCAGACTTGTTAATGCAGAAAGTCTCTGGTGCTCTTTCTGGACGTGGCAGATGAGCCTTCTTGTGAAAGGTAGTGGTGAGGTGCTGGGAGTTTGTGTTGCTTTCCTGCCTTGTCTTCACTCTGCATGTTGCTTCAGGGTTTCACGAGCTCCTGGTGATCTGAACAAAACTGCCAGGTTGGCCACCTGAAATGAAGCCTTTTGCATAGTCGTGTCTTGAGGCTCATCTGCCATTAAACCCTGTGAGAGAACGCTGATTGGAAACTACTTTGAGGCTTTCTCTGTACAGGAGACTTGGATTCAGCTGCACCGATTTCACAGGAACATGCCCTGGTTTCACACATGTATCTCTTGCTGTACCGCCTGGTAAGTAGAGCCCTGTGCATCTGTTCCTACAAAAACATCCACGTTGCATCCGTGGATGCAGATAGCAGGGGTCTAGATCAGTGTTCCCTGTAAGCTGAGTGCTTGTGTGGGCACCCAGGAGAGATTCAAATGCTGCCCAGCTGATTAGCAGAACACCCACAGTGCCCAGAGCCAGAAGCATGTGTTTCTACTGGTGGTGCACATCTGCCCATGCCTTGGTGCACACAACAAAATTTACTCTGCACACTGATGGAAACACTTTAGAGGGAACATTGTTCTAGATGCACATTTTGTATCTGCATCCATAGCTGCAAAAACGAGCTGCAGCTATCCATATCCATGGATATAAAGCAGGTATCTGTGGATTTGCAGGACTCTACCAGTAAGGCAACCCACCCCGAACAGTAGGCAGATCTGGAGTTAGCTTATCCCACATGTTGCTAAATGGGGATATTGGCAGTGAAAACGTTAGTCATGGTCAGTCAGAGCCACTGCTAGATTATAGTCCTCCAGTCGCCTCCCAAAGCCACAGGCACCCAGTGCTGGGCAGGGATTGTGTACACTGCCTGCTCAGAGCAGCACCCAGGAGCCTTTTCCTGGGGATGTAGGAACACTTCTCTGGGCCAGCATGGCTAATATCGAAAGGGGATTTCCCAGGCCTAGGCCGCTTCCTCTCTCAATCCCCAGCATGGGAGCCCCCTGCAGATGTGAGCGCACAGCGATGCAGTGGCTTGTGGCGCCCTGAACCTCTGGATGTGCGACCATGTTCGTTGTATTGATCCAGCCGGAGACAGGTGACTTTTCTCACACATGCAGCTCTAGGAGCGAGCAGCTAGCGAGCTTTGCTGGAATTGCTGCCCCTCTGGCTTTGGGTACTGACCTTGCATTACAGATCCCAGGGACACACTCACCAAGCACTTCCTGCACGTTGGGTGGACTGAGACCTTTTCCTTAGGGAGCGAACTGACTGCTCAGATGCAGACTCTAGGACGTGATGTGCTGCCTTCATTTCTTGCTGATGTCTGGAGTCCTGATCTTAGCCAGACTTTCATTGCTCCGCCTAGGAGCTGGCCACAGCAGGAAGAGAACAGCAGTGCTTCAGCACCTCCCTACACAGTTGCAACAGGTATAGGGCACAAATGGTTGAGATCTTGGTATCTTCCCTCCTAGCTGAGCCCTTTGGCAGCCTCATCTGCAAGGGCAGAACAGCGGTGCTGGTTAGTGACACTGGCCTGCTTAAAATTTGCTTTCCATCTCCTCACTACAGCAATAAACGATGCTGTTGGAAGTTAACACTCCTAGGTGTTAGGGAAGCCAGGATGGGACACTCCCAGGGCTCTGAGGAGTGGAGCCAAAAGCAGCAGGGCTCGGCCTTTTGTAAAGTTGACCCTCTGTTTAAAGGCACGTCAGCCCCTCTGCTGCACAAGGGCAAATTGTGGTGAATCTAGTGAATGGGGTTGGATCAGAGCGAGGGGCAGAGAATCGAGTTGCGCCAGGTATGGCCTTTCCCAAACGTCCGACTAGTTCTCCATAACCCTTGTGCTTCTAGAGCAAGTGTTTCTCCAGATACGAGTGGGGAAGCTGTAAGGAAGCCCCCAGCTCCATTCTGTGTAGCTCTGAGTAGTCACGTGGCTTTGTGCTGCTGGGGTAGCTGTGTTCTGATGTGGCGCTGTCTCTCGGGGTTCATGTCTGAGTTTCCAGCTGGGGATGCTGGGCTGCAAGCACAAGGCCTAATGTAATCTGGGTCTCTGTGGAGTTTCCTCACCCTTGCACACTAGCTGAGCTTTGGCCACACTTAGTTATTCCATTCCTGGATTCAACACGATTGTTCATAGTGTGGAGCTGACTGGGACCCTGCCTGAGGCAAAACCGTTGCCTGTGTTTGCGCTTGTGTCGTTAGACTCTCAGGCTTCCTGCAGGTCTGTGATCTCTTCACTGTCACCGACAGCCAACGCTTCTAGGAGACCCTCCTCCTCCCCACTGCTTCAGCCAGCCAGGGGTGGGTCCCAGAGCCCGCGTACACGCTAGACGCACGCAGCGCTGATCAGCTTTTCCAAAGGAAACCCCTAGGGATATTTTATTGAGGTCACTTTCTTTGTTTTACTTGAGCTGCTTATTGGTAGTCCTGCTGTGGGGTGGCATTGCCTTTGGGAGGCCCCGTGAGTGGAGGTGTGGGTCTGGGGGACCTCCAGGCAGAGGCACTGGCCCCGCGGTGGTGCAGTAGCTCTGAGTGGGCCTTGCTGTGCATGGTAGGGGCTGTCCTGAGCCTTGATGGTTTCTTTCTGATCCAAATAAAGGGAGAGTTTGGCGCCACCATTTAAAATGGTGGGACGTGATCATGAAGGGGGATGGTTTGGGGTTGAGGGCTCACCGACCTAGCCAAACTCCATGGGAGGTGGGGAAGTGGGTTGGTGTGATTCTGGTCAAAAGAAGCTTGAGGATTCAAACCAATCTGTTCCATAAGCCTCTGTCTGCTTAGGGGGCACGTGCAGTGCAGAGCTGCAGGCCCAGCTGGCAGACAGCTTAGGTGTGTATCCTGCGCGCCTCTGCATGCCCAAGCAGTGACTCCCACGGCTCCACTGCTGTTTGAGCACTGCCATGTCCTGCTGCTTCCCCACTGCAGGGCAAGGCTCAGGGAGGTGCCGTTGCAAAGCCTTTCATGTGCTGCGTAGTGACCTGTGTCGTGCCTGTACTCGGCACCCTGCTGTAACTAGATGGAGCCTAAAGGATGGATTTCCTTGAGAGGTCTGTGCACACTGCTCCGTCTGCAGCAGGGTGGCCCCCCACCCCTTGTCTCCCCTGCAGCCACACCTTCCGTGGGAGAAGGGATCCCTCTGTGAGCACCAAGACTGCATCACTCCCTGGGCCGGGCACATCCACAGGGAAAAGAATCTGCAGGGGACGGTCTGACGTAGTCATCGTGCTGGGGACTGGCGGATGCACACTTGGTGCGGAGGAGAGAGGAGGGAGCCCATGTGTATAACAGGCCAGGCTGGTGAAGCCGCTCCACAGAGCACTGTGCTCATGGTGGTCTTGGAAGGCGGCTGTTGGCCTGTTTCATGGCATGTCGCCTGAGGGGGATGGGTGCCGGCAGTGCCTAGTGGGATTTGGATGCTGGGAGGATGCCAGTTCTCCTTTGGGCAGGCTGCAGAGATAGGGGCCGGTTCCGTGATCTGCCCTTTGCAGGACAGGGGAGAGGCATTCTCCACAACATGGCCCAGCCCCTTGTCGGCCTCTTGCTCACGAGCAGGTTTGCTGTTCCTGGCACAGCCCTTTGGCCCCACAGGGCCTGCAGCACCAGCTTGGTAGGCTCCCACCCCGCCCCAGCTGTCCTCTTGTTCGCTCATTTCTCATTACG